AAGTTGAATTGCTTATTTTTACCCTCCTTCCCATCAGATCTTTTCTTTGGAATTGTGTTTCAAGTTAAAATGTTTTTCATATATTCACTCATTTGTACATAAGAACTAAATTTGGTAGTTCTTCTAGGCACATAGTGATAGTGAACTTTAATCCTGTGTTCTTAGAGTATAGCCATACTCGTAGTCTTTCTCAGTGTCCCCCAAAAACAGTATTACATCTGTGTTAAGCAAAATTTATGTGATGGTAAAAGCAACAGTAAAACAACCCCAAGATCCATATTGTGTATAAAAGAGAAAGCTAGTCCCCTGAATTACGTGGTTTGTGGTGCATATTTTGACTGTTCTGCTGCCTTGGCTTTCCCTCATCCCTCACAGATTTAATTGATTTAAAACATACATATTGCCAGGTGTAGTAGCATATGCCTGTAATCCCAGCACCCAGGAGGCTGAAACAGTAGGATCCCTGAGACCTGGAGGCCAGCCTGGGCTACAGAGTGAGTTCCAGGCCAGCGTGAACTGCATAGTGAGACCCTGTCTCAAAAAGACAAAAAAATATATATATATGTGTGTGTGTGTGTGTGTGTGTATGAAATGAAATACATGTGAAGCCTAGTAGATTTCTTAAGTGTTAAAATTTCTAATTTTTCAATGTATGCAGCAGATTTTAAGCTTAAAAGCCATAGAAATACTTTTATTTGTATCTCAAAATAACAAAACCGTTAAACCTAATTAGAAAGTCGAGATTTACAAAGCATCTGAAACAAAGGAAATACTAGTGGAGTGGGATGATTTAGGAGACTATTCAGCTATTAAGGTCAACCAGCCAAGCAAGGTAGCAGGGAATGAAATGAGTTATCAGCTTTTGTATAAATTATATACCTGGGATGAACAGGAATTGGCACTTCATGAAATACTAGGAATTAGAGGTGCACGTTAGCGGCAAGTCAGGTATGTTAGCTATTTCTAGATAATTGCGTAATGCCATCCTCTTCCTTATTCTTCCCCTATGCACGACTTCCTGTAAACCTTAACTGTCCTTTAATTAAGGCCTAGGTAACATGTTGTCTTTTCAGAAGTCACCTTGAGGTGGTCCTTAGTGGAGGAAATGCTGACTCTCATAATGTAATAGTTATTATTTACAATATAGTATTATTTGCTTTTCTTGTATACCTTCCCACTCTAACTGGTTAATGTCTTTATATGTAATGACTGGATGGTTTTGAGTTGGGAGTTTTTCCTTCAGTGGGTTTTTTTTCTTTAGTAGATAATACGTAAATCAAATGTCAAGTTATATAAATTGCTTTCTGAGTTACTCTAAGTTAAAATTAAAAAGATCTGTACCTACCACTTCTTTGGAAACAGCTGATTTTGTGGTCTTTCACTTTAAATTTGCAATAAAAACATTTGGGGGAAATGGTCATAACACAAAGGCTTACATTAGAAAACAGCTCAATATTTAGGCTTCTGCAATCTCAATTCTCATCACTGTACGGTTTTCCTCCAGTTTATTTTTATAGATTGCTGGTAATCAGTTTGCTTGTGAAACACAAGAACTGGTCCTTCTGTTCCTTGAAGTTCTGCACTGACATCTGAGTGGCGAAACTGTTTGCACAATGTTCCAGGGCCCATTGAGACAGTTTGTGCTGTAGCCGCAGGAGGGGTGGCAGATTGTAAACTCGGCTGGTAGAGAGCAGTGTCTGTGTGAGGTTTCTTTGATCCCCGAAAGTAGATCATTCTAAAGATGCTTCCATATAGAATGCTTCGCTGAGCGCGTCTGTGTGACTCGCATCCCAGTGTTTTAAAGGGTTTGTCACTTTCTTTTTAAACGATGAGCTTAATTATTCCATGATTGTCCCCATGACTTAAAATATTTAGAACCCAACTGAAGTATTTATATGTAATTGCATATATAATTTTAATAGTTTTCCAACGTAGTGTTTATAAAATAATATAATATTAATACTTCAGAATTTAATCAGAGAGGAGAAAAATCCTTTTTTACCATCTATATAGTTCAGCATGTCAGAATTAAGTCAGTTTTGATTTGGTAAAATTTTTTAGCTCCAGAAAAGACAGCAGTTGGGTTAGGCCACAGCGTTCTAGAACGTCTTTATAGCATCACTATAAAAATCACTATTGCATCATCAAATGCCTGTCATTTACTGAGGCTTCACAGTGTGCAGGGCACTGATAGGTGCTGTACATACCTTTTGTTTTGTAACCCTTCATTAGTTGAACCCTTTGTTAGGTTTATAGTTACTGTATTTATCTGCAGAATTCCTCCCGAGGTTTGGGACATTATGACCTGTCCACGATCACCGCCTAGTGACAACCAGTGCCACAGCTCCAAACCCTCTGGCCTCCTGGATGAGGTGTCTGGTTATGCTGTAAGCCTTAGAGCCCTGTTCGGCTTGTTACTTTAAACCGATACCTAGCGTGATACCTGGCACAGAGTAGATGATTGCACACTGGAACTCAGAGTACATTTTTCACACAAAAAAGTCTTGCACATGGGGCAGGAACACCCATGATTCTGAGTACTTGGAGTTACATGGGTCTTGTCCACTGCTCTGTGAACAGAACTGCTACTGAATAACTGGCTTTTCTGAGTGAATCCCTTGTTTGGACAGCTTTCACCTGGACGTTGGGAATAAAGCCTTTGATGGGTGAGGTGGAGGCTGTAGCCGATGTGAAAAGTAATGAACCTTCTCTTTGAATTCAAAGTCACCATTAGGAAAATCATTATAGTTTTCAAGACCCGAAGATATCAAACCTGAGACATGTCGCTCTTCAGGGGTGAGGGGCAGAGAGTCCTGCGTGCCCCACCTTCCTTGTTTCCTTCGGTCTGCTTCCCCGTCACCTCTTGCAGCAGACTCTGAAACTGACCTTCGGCTGCTTAAATGAAGGGTGCTGGTCTCTGCCCCTGGCCACTGTCTTCATTTTCGAATCAAGAGCACGGCTTACGAAGCTGATGACTTCCTGAGGTCCCTCAGCTATTTCAGGCACGTGCTTAGTTTGTGACAGAGGACTGGGTGTGTTTCTCAGTGTCTAGAAATCCTTACATAGCAACTTTAATATTACTTATCCCTCATCTTTGAAAATAAGTCTCACTTGCTCATTGCGCAGATGTGAACTATAATTAGGATATCTCGGCACCACTTGACTTTTCAATGTAATTTGATCCTTACAACCTTTAGGAGTCAGAACAGTATTTTCTCAACTATTTCTACTTTAGGGACATAGAAGGTGTGGTCACAGAATGCAGTGATTGTTTAAATTTTAAAGAGTTATGCAGTAAAAGACCCATCGCCAATGATACCCCTCAAAATAGTTCCCCTTGCGTCTGACGCACTCGTCCCGTCGTGTTTGTCACACGCTAAAGCAGCTCTGGGAATCTTTCGTGGGTGTCTTCAGTTGTGCTGTTGTGGCTGCCTTGGGGTGCGGAATGGATTCAGTATTTCACCTTTCCTGGTCAGTTCGACTCTGGGGAACAGCCAGAGGTCACATACTGGCAGAGCTAATGAACACACCTGATGAAGACATGCTGCAATATCTTTACACGCCTGCCTTCCCACTGGATGGCACGTGGCAGCAGCATTCACCATACTTTCTTATCGCATCTCATAAAGACATGAAAGACGACTTCCAGAACTGCTTCAAAAAGTGGCTAACATGATGGGGTAGTTGTGTTCTAAAGGAAGGGGAATATCGTGGGGGGATTAATGGCAACGTGTCTTTATCTGTAACTCATTTTGTTAAACACAGTGTATTTTTGGATCAGCTCTTACAGACTAGGACTGATGTCACACAACAAACAAGTTGCAGAGCCAGAATTTAAAAAAGGAAGAAAATGATTTGTCAGTGTTATATTTGGAGTTAGAACTCACTTAAGTGAATTGGTGCGGCCAGCCTGGAGCCGAGGAGCAAGCTTCTTGGTTGCAGTGATGGTGAAGTAGGGTGGCCCAGTGGGGCAGAAAGGAGATTTGGGAAAATGCCCTTATGTGGTGAGGGCTTGGCCAGTGCCCCTGATCTCCTAAAGCAAGTGTGTGTGCAAGGCTTAAATAAGAGGCAAGTAATGTGGTTTGGGGAGTGTAAGAAGGTCAGAACTCTCTTACAGCTGAGACAATGACTTCTCTAAACAGCCAGTATTTATTGGGTTTCAGGCATATTGCGGGGATGTGAAGGAAAAAGAAAGGAAAAGCTGTGGTAAGAGTGGAAAAATGAGCAGGACCCTGAGAAGTTAGAACAAAGACTTCTGCAACAGTTAATTTTTGCCAGTTAAGAGAACTGTCTTTAGTCTCTGAGGTTCACACTTACTGCCCTAGAACAGGGAGTGAGAACCCACGTCCTTGGCTGCCTCAGCTGTGGTGTTACCTAGTCTTCAGAGTACTGTGGTCAGCACTTAACCCTTACACAGCCTGGTCCCCGCCCAACACGTATCCTAGCCTTTATCATGTGGGAACTAACAGAACCTTGTAAATTAAGGAGCTACAGATTTTGAGCTGTGGCTGGAGTTTGTAGTTTGTGAAATTTATTGAGGTAATGTAATGGAAAAGAACATTCATTCCCTCAAACCTGTTTCATTATTTCTTTTTTATTTCTGATTAGCTGTATGACCTTAGATAAGTCAGTTGATCTTTCTAAGCCATAGTGAACTGATCTAGAAAATGAGAATAGTAATATTAATATTGTGAAACCTTTGAGTGCTCAGCAGCATTTTTTCTCTTCGGCATACTGTGTATCTCAGTAGTCTTAGTAGCTGCATAGCTAAATTATAAATTGGTTACATGTTCCTATACTGAATGCAGAACTACAAGAAACTTAACTACCGAAAGGGGCATCAGAAAGACAGCAGCTCCTGGGAAGCTGTTTTATTTGTTATAGACTGTACCTGTTGCCTTCTCAAGTGACTTTTTAATTAGAGTTGTAAAGGGTTTGAATTTTGTCTCTAGGAAATAGTAGTGAATTATTTTATTATTAATGTTTTTACTTTTTTCTAGCTGTACAACTTTGGAGAGACGGTTTCTATTGTTTTTTGGACAGACACTTGGAGACCAGAGAGTTTCTTTGACAAAGTGGAAAAGAACAGACAAAATGGCATGCATACTTTATGCTTACTAGGTAAGAATTTTAGAATTTCCTTAAAGTTGCCATGGAACTGTCAGACATGTTTCTTTTCTGATGTTGTGGTAAGGTGTAGAAATTGTTGTATGGTAACTAGCTAGATGTAAAGTCTGGTCATTCTGTGCATGTCGCATCTTTCCTGTACTCAGAGACTTGCTCTAAGTATGACGTGGCTATTTCTGTATTCACGCTGTAGTCCACGCTGCTCCCCTTTGAGACCTGCGGGTTCTCTCCAACATTGTCTTACTCGTCTGTGCCTAAGGCCCTCTTGTCAGTTTACTGCAATTGACCAGACTTGTACTGAGCGTTTATTCTCACCTCCCTCCGTGTTACACTTTCTAGGACTGTGGTAGCAAAGCTATGGCGTGCATGCTGTGGTGGGATATTCGTTATCACTGAAAGCTCCAAAAGGTTCGCCATCACTGTTCTAGGATGTTCTCTGAATACTGCAGTATTGATGCTATCGGAATTACAGAATGATACATCTGAAGGAGACTAGAAATCGTCTTCATCTATGAAACCAATGAATTTGGAAAAGGGAAAATGCCAAATCATTCCCAGCTAATGGGTGACAGAACCAACAGAATAACAGACAGACAGATAACGTGTTATTCACAGCTCTTTTCACTGTATCGTACTGCCCAAATCCTATTTCCTACTTGGTATGGAAAGAGCTGGGATTGTTGTCTTTGTACGGCAAGATAATGGTACTGAGTTTCAAAACGACAAAGGCTTTGTCTTCAAGCAGAGGCCGTGAAATTGTACTGATTCACATTTTTAGTCCCTACTCTTAACAGCGTATGTTTTAGAAAGAAATACTGGTATGAGAAATTTAATCTTCAACTGACTGATGATCTGAATACAGAACTTGAACTTTGAAATGAATCTTGCAGTTGGAACCAGAAGATAAGATCTCAGCACTTCTACTTACTAGCTAGAGAATGCTGAGGAACATACCTTAGCCTTTGTCTTATGTTTATAGAATATGGAATAATTCTTCTTTGTTTGAAGCAGTACTTTTCAAACTATTGTGGTGAAGATCCAAGGTTGGTATATTTAAAAACGGTTTTTAAATTTCTATTCTTTTTTTATCAGTTTTAGATTACTATAAGCATTTGTAACTACTTACCCTAACTTCTATAGTTACTTCCCCATTTACTGATCGTAAGAAGTCCTCAGACATCAGTCCCAAGAACATGCTTTGAATTGTACTATTTTAATGATCCTGTATGTGAAGCCATCAGCGGAATGTCTGCTACATTGCACAGGGTCGGGGCAGAGGGTGAGTGGATGCTTATGGCCTCTACAATAATCCAGAACTCAGAATATTTGAAGATTTTTTTATTTGCCAAAAAGTTTTAAATTATCTACACAGTATAGTTACTTCTGTGTTATTCAGTAATATACAATTTTGTGTAACCTAGTCAATTCAAAACCCTATGTCGTAATAGAAAAGGTTTTACTAATGGTTGGCATTTCTTATGGGGTATAAATTAGAAATTAGCGTCCAGCGCACAGTTCAGCCAGCTAGTGCCCATGTGTCAGTTCTGGCCTGCTCTTTGTTTTGTAAAGATTTTGTTGGAACATTGCCACATTCATTTATGTATTGTCTGTGGCAGTGAAGAGTACTTGTAATGGAGACTTTCTGGTGCTCAGAACCTAAAACACCTGTTATCTGTTCCTTGCCTAAGTTTACCAACTTCTGATCTAACGTGAAGTTTTATTTACTCTTACGTACCTAAGCCCTTATTGCCTCTTTCCCATTACCTTTTTTTTCATAATCTTACCACTCATCTGAGTTATTTCCTATATTGGTCAGTTTTCCTACTCCTGGGATAAAATACCTGATACCTGCAACCTAAAGAAAAAAGAGTTTTATTTTGGATCATCATTTCAGAGGTTAGTTCATGGTTAACGCTCCAAGGCAGAAGGGCATGGTGGAGAAGAGTTGCTCAGTTCATGCCGGCAGAAAGCAGAGCAGATGAGACAGAGCCAGAGAGGACGGGCCAGGGACCGGACGTGTTCTCCAGGGTGACACTTTATGCCACCCAGGAGGTGAGTGCGCTGTACTGATCTCCTAGGTGGCTTTCAGGCTAATTAAGTTAACAGTTAAGATAAACTGTCACATCTTATTAGCTTGGTTGGCTTCTTCCCACTTCATCTGAGCAGAGACTTTGCTTGTGATTTCTTTCTTGCAGGTGTCTAGAAGTTTGGCAGTGTAGCTCTTCAATAAATATGGATGTTCATTGGTTAAAGTTTTAAAAACTTTCTCATACTTGGTCTTACTACACATTGGCACAAAAAAATCTTCAACACTTGCTAGTTGCTAGTTCATCTAGTCGCAGCAAGAATAATACATTCCCTTTGCTCTGTTCACATTGAAAATTAATTCTTGATCTGGCTCAGACCGTGGATAGTTTTCTAACATTTTCTTCTTTTTGGTGTATTCCTATATAACACAATTCACTAGCATATGTTTTCGTAATTTATTGTGAATGGAGTTTACAGCTTCACTAGTAATCCATTAATTAGTTTTATAGTTTTGTCCTTGAATTTTCCCTGTGAAAAGAGACTGGTCTTTTTTATAGTCCTTGCTAACAAGAACACTGTAAAGGACCCATTAATTGGGGTGGCCCATGCCATCAGTACATCTGTCTTGTTAGTACAGGCGGAGCTCCAGTTACAGCCAGCAGTGGGTTGGAGTCGCAGTAGACTGGTGTGGGGGGCAACGCTGTCAGAGGGACTTTCGTTAATGGCCGAAGTAGGGTATATTTAACGAGGGGTGAAAAACAGGGAGCTGTTGGAGCTCCGTTACTAGAGGGTGTGTATGTTTTGTGACAAGACTGAGTGAGAGCGTCTAAGATGGGACAAGGGAGAAGAGTATGAGAGGGTTATCTGACATCTGTCAAAGTGCGGGCCTGCAGAGCAAGCAGTACATATCTTTTGGACAGCTTTGAAAAGGCAAGTAGAAAATGAGTTTTCAGTATTTATGGAGTGATTACTCCAGGCCCAGTGTGGAATTACCTTCCTTTGAGATACTAAGGAAGTTTTGAAATCTAGTTCTGAACCAATGCGTTCTGCACATGGAAGTTTAAAGAACAGTTAAGTCCTGCTGTAGGGAGAGGCAGGAAGGACAAAGCAGAACCTCAGCTTTTGAGTTCTCTGAGAGCTGCCTCTTTGCTTAGCTTTCCTGGGAAGAGACAAACAAGGTTAAACAATAACCTTGCCCCACTAACAAAAGCAGGAACGAGGTAAGAAGTATAGGATGTCCTGATTCCAAGTTATCCAACCATAGATCTCCTCGCTTAATCATCTGGCTTTCTCACCATTTAAATTAGTAAATATTTACTGAATGATTGCTGTGGGCCAAAGCCCCTGGGGATGAGTGAGAGTGAACTGTAAACTATGGTGGGAAGCCAGAGGGAATCTAAATTTTACTTGGAGAGATAAGACCAATACATGTAATACAGCTGGAGGTTAGTAAAAGATAACGCTAGTCCTGTAAATATTTCCATGGACAAAAAATAGTGAAGTCCTGAAGAAGTCACAACTTAATGTCCCTTAAATGGTAGATAGTTCAAGATGAGCTGGTGAGTGGGTGGTAGGCAAGTCATGTGATAAATTAATTCAGGAGACACGTGGTTATCTACTGGATGCTTTATATTATGCTATGACCTGGTACTAAGGTGGGTAGAAACTTCAGTTTAGCAAGTAGACTTTGAGAAAAATTGTGGCCTATGGGAATCCAAGGACAAAGTAATTAAACTCTTCTAGTTTAAAACTAATTCACTAATGTAACCTTATGTTCAACTAAAAAGCACTTGCCTGGAAAAATTTTCCCAACTCTCTTCATTTTAAAGATCAGATTCTTAGTTATGTGTGGTGGTACATACCGGTCATATCAGCGCTCTGGGAGGCTGAGGCAGGAGCATTCAAATGGTTGAGCCCAGCCTGAGCAACTTAGTGAGACCCTATCTCAAAATTTTAAAAATGCTGGACATGTAGATTAGTATGAAGGCCCCTGGTTCATTCCCTACTTCCAGGGGAAGAAATCCCATTCTATAAACAATATCATTAAAAACGTTAAAAAAAAAATTGAAAATGTGAAAGATCTTACTATCAGAATAATATTTCAGAAGCTCAGGGTGAGTGAACTAATACATTGAACTTTTAAATATCTTACAAATATCATTTAAAGGAAATCTAAAAGTTGACGTATACCATTAATTATATTGGAGGTTCAAACAGGTATCCATTTTTCATTTTCCTGTATGTGCCAGCAAGTAGAAATGTTCAATTATAAATGATACTGGAAACCTGAAAAATACTTCAGCACTAGTTCTAGCAACACTTGAAACTGTATACATGTGTGTATGTGTGAAACAACTCTATTATCCTTTATCAGAAGAACTTTAATCACTTAACGTTGTAGAAGTCTATCACAGACTCCTTAGTTGTGCTATATTTATTTTTGCAAAAACAAACTTCGGCTGAAGCATTTGTTTTGGCATGTCAAACAGGAAGCAGCTGTCGCCGTCACTGTTGTGTGCAGAGTTCCTGAGAGGACATACGGTGACTCTGCTCTTTCACCTCTGACCAAATAACTCAGCTGGGCATCAGGCATTAAGAAGTGTACAGCATCAAGTCTTTGCAGGGCATGGACTGTTAAACTTCGCGAGAGCGGAGATCACGTCTGGGAAGGTCCCTGAGCTAGTCCGGTGCCTGGCACGGTGTCTCACACATAGTCGGGTCTGAAACCCCTGGGAAAAGTGTACATACTTGATACCAAGGCCTTTGCTGATAATTATGACATATCTTATCTTCCATAAGAAAGCAGAGGTTTCTTTTCAAAATGCACTATGTCCATTGAAGCCTTTGCATTCTGGTGCCTGAAAAGCCCATAAAAATAGGAGTACACCAGACCCTCGTGTTACGACTGGCCTGACTTACAAGCTGTTTGGGTTATGACCAGAATTTTCATTTTAGTTTATGATCAGAGTATTGAGTTATGACCTGAATGCCGGCCGCTTTGCTTCCAGATGGATGCTTCTTAGATGCAGATTTAACCCTCCAGAGTTCTGGACGGAACACTGACAGCATCCTTTCCTGTGTGGGCTTAATTGAGAAATCCTGGGCCAGTGTCTGTCTAAGGACACCGAGATCGGCCTGAAGGCTGTGGAGAGGAGCTTGAGCCTTCCTCGACAACATGAGCTGTAAGCCCTTTGGGAACAAACTGAGCTCGTAAGTCAAGGGTCCACTTACAGAAGACTTCGCTGCGTCTCTGCAGTTACGAGCTAGTAGCGATAAAAGCGAGTGTGCTTAGCTGTTGGGTAGTGTACATGCCAGTATTTATCGAATGTTTTCTCTGTCTTCTTTTCTAGCAGGAATTTAGATTGCTGCAGGATGGTCTCGGAGCCAAGCTCATGTTTGTTTTTCACTAACGTCCTTTCCACAACCACACGCCTCCAGCCTTCTCTCATTTCCGTAACACAGCAGCTAGGTATAACAGGTGTGGAGAGGCTCCGTAAACTCCCAGATCGGCATTTTGGGAACCTGGGAAGGATGTTTTCCAAAAATTAGGTGACTCTTAACTGAAATTAAGGGAGTAGTGAAACTAAAAGAACTATGTTTTTATTCCCTGTAGATATCAAAGTAAAGGAGCAGTCTTTGGAAAATCTAATCAAGTAAGTTCTTATTCTAAGAATGCTTACATCTATTTTAATTCTTAGAGCAAAGCAATAAATTCTTCTAAAAAGACATGAGTTCTAAGGATTGTTGAAAAATTAGCCCTTATTAATAGTTAACATTAAACACTTATTCTTTTAAAATGCTAAGCAGTAGAAATAGTACTAGATTCCATAAGTTCAACACTGAAAACGGTGTTGTGTATTTAATTGTCTTAGTTACTGTCTTGTTGCTGGGACAGAGTAGCCGACACCCACAGGGACAGGAGAGTTCACTGCAGCTCGCAGTTGGGGGCTTCAGCCCCTAGTCAGCTGCGCGGCGGAGGGGCCCAGCGGGCGCGCCTGCGTACCAGCCACGCCGCGCTCTCCTGCCGTGCTGCTGTTACCAGTTCTTATGTGAGTAAGTGTTAGAATATAATGTTTCAGCTATCGGGTTAAAATATAGTAATAAAATCAATTTTGTCTTTTTGAAACCTTTTCATGTGGTTGCTAGAAAATTTGAAATTGTGTTGTGACCTGTAAAATTCCCAATAAATAGAGTATTTTATTGGCTAGCACTGACTTAACGAATTGTTTTGTGGGGCTGTGCAGTAATCTGTGAACTGTTTTATAGCTTGCAAAAGCTTCCATCTTTATTGTTACGATCATTGGGTAAAGTTGGTAGGCTTTTGAGGCGTTCAGAAATAACATGTGTCACTACTCAGTACTTCTCAGTTCTTTACTGCTTTATTTTCCTTTCTTAGAGGCGGAAGTGAAAAAAAGGAATAAATAATTTAAACATGTTAATAAAAGATGCCTAGCATGTATATGATCCTGTGTTTGATCCTGAACATCACAAAAAATAAACATTAAAAGAAAAATAAAAGAATAACACTGTAGAACCTAACTAAGCTAGGGCATAGAACAACTTGATATTTACGTAAAATTATTTTTGCTTAAAGCATCACTTTGATATAGACATCTATTAGTTGTTAGATTTTTATTTTTACCATCATTTCTGTGCTATTAGAGTTAAAGTAGAATAATGTAAGAAAAAGGTTAAGAAACGTAGCTATTCCTGGACTCACATTTTGGTGTGTGGGCGCCATTGTGTGAACACTTCCAACGGGATGTAGGCTGTGCTGCTTGCGTCTGCGTGAGGGAGTTTTGTGTTGAGTGTGCTGTGTGATTTCACAGGGGAAGGAAGATCTATGAGCCGCCTCGGTACATGAGTGTGAACCAAGCAGCTCAGCAGCTTCTGGAGATTGTCCACAACCGAAGAGCAGGAGGAGAAGAGCCAGGTACTCACGACCCCGAGGGCCCTCGTGTTATTCCCTAATGGTTATACTGAGAAGGGTGTATGATTGAATATCTGACACACATATGTATGCCACCACTGAAGCGAGAGTCAGTGCTTCTGCTTTGTGCTGTATTTCTCTTCATTTTTTTTTTTTTTTGAACTTTCACTTAAATCCCACATTTCCAGTTGTGCAGAAAGTAAAATAATTGAGCTCTTTACAGTAAAATGAACACAATTCCAGAAAATGCAGCTTTTTACCAATTAAGTATAATCGCATTTGATATAAATGTTAATGTATAAATAGTTTGATAAAATGGAGAACTTCCATTTTAGCCCTAATCAGTGATAAAATCTCTCCTGCAAAAATATACTTGTTATACTTTTCCTTCAGGGTAAAGACAAGTTTATCCTTACATTCCTAATAGACATACATTTTACACACACATTAAAGTGTAATCTCAGTAAATCTTTATGGAGAAGTTCTTAAACCTATCACATTCTGTTACAAGGTGCTGACTGCCTTTGAGTCCCTATCCTCTGATAGCAAAGTACACGAAGAGGTTCGTGAGTGATCATTGTGCATTTTATTCTCATCAGTAGACCCTATTACATTCGTGAAACACTAGTCTGCAAGGGTTTCCTGCATTCAAAGTTGGTGAAGACTCCCTGCGTGTCTACGTTTTCTCGTATAGACCACTGTTGGGAGCAGTGCTGGAGATGGAGCCCCGCATTGCTGCACCTCTGGGTGGTGTCGCTAGCCCTTTTCATTGTTACTATTTTTTTTGTTTTTTTTCTGGTACCGGGAATCGAACTCACGACCGCCCCCTTTTCATTTTTTATTTTGAGACAGGCACTCACCAAGTTGCCAGGCTGGCCTTGAACTTGTGTTTCTCCTGCCTTAACGTGCAGGAGCCAGCCTGCCTGCTGTCCCCAGGGGCTTCTTCTGTCTGGCTTTTTCCTCTTTCACTCGGCCCACGCTCGCTCTGCAGAGCCAGTTTCTCCCTCTCTTTACTTTCACTTTTTCAAATAAACTTTTGAAAAGAGAAAAACAGTAAAACCAGTTACAAGATCAGCCTTTTAGCTGTGGAACCAGAGTGAATTGTATGAAAATTCTGAATGTAAAAGCATAAGTAACGCCAAAATGCCTATTTTTGTTAAGCACTCTACAGTTTACTAGTCTTCATCCGTTATCTTAGCCCTCATAATCACCACTTCAGAGAGGTAATACTACATTTTTCAGAATGGTAAAACTAAAGTTTGACATATTGCTCATTACATAGGCAAGCAGAAATGCAAATCCATGTATTTATCTCGTAGCCCCATGATTTTTCTAGAATATCTTTCTCAATATGAATATATCTCAAAAATTTTTAAATTTTTATTTATGATTATTATTTACCTATTTTTTATTTTTCAAATAAGGCCTTGCTATGTACTGTAGGGTGGCCTTGGACTCATGGTGATCCTCCTGCCTTGGCCTCCTGAGTGCTGGGATTACATGCATGCGCCACCATGTCCAGTTTCAAGAATTTATTAAAAATATAAGTGTCATAAACATGTTCATTCAGAATCTGTTTAAGGGAAAGACTGTGCAGTTGTAAGGAGTGTGGATATAGTTATTGTTTATCAGGTCGTTACTAACTACATAGAGAGATCCTCTCTCAGAAAAAAGAAAAGAAAATTACTTGGGGCTTTAAAAATAAATTTGTAGGAGGTATCACAATCCCTGACTTGAAATTATACTACAAAGCTACTGTGATAAAATCAGCATGGTACTGGCAAAAAAATAGGCCTGAAGATCAGTGGAACAGGTTAGGAGATGCGGACACAGCTGCAAACACACTCATCCACCTTAGTTTTGACAAAGGGGCCAAACATGTTCACTGGAGAAAGATAAACTCTTTAACAAA